TACTCTATTCTGCTCCTACCACCTCACAACTGCCTGGAGAGGATACAATGTTTCTAGCCATCTTGCACTCCAAGTGAATTAAGGATGTGTTTCATGCCCCTTGCCCCAGGTGCAACAATCTCTAGTGACAGCTCTTACCTTAGTAATCCTCTAGTCCAAAGCTCTTGTATCACAGATAAGGAAACAGGCCTGGTGAGATAGAGTGATTTGCTCAAAGTAACACAACTAGTAACTGCCAAGGCCTGGAGTTGAGCCCAAGTCTTCAACTTCCTCACTTTATTGAGAAGGGAACTGAGCTAAGTAATCACATAGGGAATTCATGGCAGAATCAAAATTCCATATTAGGTCTTCTGACTCCTTTTCCTATGGCTGTTGCCATGTTTCATCAGATCTTACAGACTCCCATTTGTTTTTTGAAAGCCTTTTTTAAAAAAAGTAGAGAGAGCTAGCCTTGAAGCCAGGAAGAGCTGTGTTCAAGTCCCATCTATAACACTGGCTGTGTGACCCTAGACAAGTCCCTTGACTTCTCAGCATCCCAGGCAATGCTCCAAGACTCTAAGTTACAGAGAAGGTGCCAACCTCCCACTCATAACCATGAATTTCCTCACTTAGAGTTTTGGGATCGCTCTTAGACTTGAACCCTTCATTCACAATCATCCATGTCTTCTTATAACCTGATATCTCTTCTACTGCTGATCCTACCATGGTCTGCTGTTTGCTTCCCTCTACTTATCACTTAACCCTGCTCTACCCTGCTATTTTCTGTTTTATCTGGATTGTTTCAAATCCTGTCCCAGACACTAACTAGTTACATGGCCTTGGAAAAATCACTTAGCTATTCTGTGCCTCAGTTTCCTCATCTGAAAAATGGGGTGGTGGAGGGTTAGACTTGATGGCCTCTCTTCCAAATCCAAATTTATGATTCTATTTGTCTTTATTGCCTGTGAGTAAATTTCAAATCTTAGCTTGACATTCAAAATCCTCCATAATTTGGTAGCACTCTAGTTTTTCAGCTTGTTCTCATATTACTGTCCTCCATCTGCTTACTGATTCAGTTAAAATGGACAACTCACCATCTTCAATACCTGTCCTACATTTTCCCACCTCCATGTCTTTACTTCCATTGTCCTATGCCTCTTTTCACTGACATCTGACATAGCAATTCATTTGTACCTCTGTTAGGAATTTATCATGTATTGTATTATACTATAGTTAGAGTCTGAAAATTATACAGGGTATCTGACATCATGGATGGAATGCTGGCCTTTGAGTGAGGAAGACCTGGGTTCAAATCCCACTTCTGACACCAGCTGTACAACCAATCATGTAACTTTATAGAATTTATCTACTAAGCCACAGATGGTTTGTAGTCCGTGATGGTGAAGGAAATTAAATCCTTCCACTTTTCTCTTGGGGTATTTATATACCCTATTATTGTATTTGTTATTGTAGAGGAACTGTCTTATCTAAATATGGTACCTCTTACAGTGGCTAACTCAGAGGTGTTTAGTGACTCATAAGAGATGTTTAATAAATGCCAGATTGATTTAGATGGGATAGGATGAGATGGGATGTTGTTTTTTTAATGGAGCTATTGTCTGTCTCTCTACCTTAGATCAATATGGTCTTAAAATACAGTCCCTAGACCACTGGTGGTTGTGGAGTGACTTCTAAGGGGGTTTCCAGACAGCACAGGAACAGAGACCACAGAAAGTAAAAGAGCCTGTAGACTTTGAGTGACTGCTGTGGAAAATTGTCACCAGACTCTGAAAGCACCAGGCACAGAGATAATGAAGCTGCTGCCATTCTAGAAGGCTCCACTTGGAATCACTGTGATTGGATCTCACCATGTCTCAGGTTTGGTCTTAAGTCATGGAGAGGCACTGGTGGGAAAGAAGGCCAGGGAAACTTTAGGGAAGTCCATACCTGGCATTGTACTTCTGTGGCGCCTTCTTTTTCCTCATTTCTTTTCCCCACCTCCAGCCCAAAGTCTTTAGCCTGGGCTAAACCTCTCTTTGCTTCTCCCTTTGTCTTCCTTCCTCTTGTAATGAGATAATGATAACACCAGTAGTAGGTGGAGGACCACTGCAAAGGTTTTCTTTTTTGCCAGCAAGTCATGGGGTATTTTTAAAATCATAGACCAATGAGTTTGCCTTACAAAAAGCTAAGAGTAAGGATATCCATTGGATCAAGGGTCAGAACCCCATGTCATAAGATCAGAGATCTAGAGTTGGAAGAGATCTTAGAGGTCATCCTGTCCAGCCCCCTCATTTTACTCATGAACTGTGGTATGGAGCAGAATGAACAAATGATTAGCTCAGGGTCACTCAGGTAATGAGGAGCAGAGCCAGAATTTGAATTTGGCTCCTCTCCTCTGTCTCTAAATTCATTACTCTCTCTCTTTCTCTGCTTGGCCAGGTTTCTAGGTTTCTGTTCTCTAATGTATATGATGGAAATGATAATGCTCCTGCATCAACCTCACAGGGTTGTTGGGAAAGTAAAATTAGAACATGCTGCATAAAGCGGTGCAGTGCAAAGCTGTCTACATCTTGTCTGCTCATAGTCGTTTTCATATTGTCTCCCCATTAGACTGGGAGCTCCTCCAGGGCAGGGATTGGCTTTGCCTTTCTTTGTATCTCCAGAGCTTAGCACAGTGCCTGGTATACAGCAGGTGCTTAATCAATCTTGCCTGACTGACTGCTAAAAGTCAGAGGACAGGAGTTCAAGTCCTGACTTTGTCACTTCCTAGTGACCTTGGCTAAACCAAGTCTTTTCATTTTCCTGGATCTGACTTTCCTCATCTGAAAATGACATCATTGTGCTTTGAGTTCCCTTCTAGCCAGAAATCCTGTGTTCTTAAAAGTATAAAGTACTGGCCAGACGTGAGGGTGTGTTGTGGGTGGCCCTCTGTGTCACAAAGAGGTTGAAAGATGCTGGGTTGGAATTCTGGTGATCGAGCAAGGTTGGGGGAGAGGAATTGTCAGAGATCCATGGTGCGGGTGGTGGCTTTGTGGCCCGCCCTGGTTCCCAGGCTGGCTGCGTTGCTGCTCCTGGGGAGGGCTCTGAACAGCTTGCTGCCGGGCTCCCCGCTGTCTCCTGCTCATCCAAGTGAGCTGAGATGACTCCCTTTGTTTGGAATCTGTGGGCGTCATGAACCGGGTTTGGAGGTAATTTGTCTGTCTCCTGCAGCTGGCTGTCATCTCACATCTGCGAACTAGTTTCATTTTCACGGTCATTAAAAAATCCCAGGTCTGACAGGTAGTAAACACACACACACACACACACACACACACACCACATACACACAAACTTAAGAACCACTCTGGCACCTAGGACAACCCATTTTGAAGTCCCAATCCTGTGTTCAGGTGTAAATGGGATCAGGGAGACTCAGGGGAAAAGGCAGAATGGTATACAGTGGAAAGCAGACTAGATTTGAAATAAGAGAAACTGGGTTCGAATCCTAACTGTCTTTTAATAGCTTAATAAACTGGGCCAAGTCAGATCTGTCCCTGATCTTCAGTAGCTTCCTCTATCAAATGAAGAGGTTGGAGTATGTGTTCTTCAGGGTCCCTCTGAGCTCTATGTATGGGGTCACTTGGAGCTTTAAGTAGGGCAGGTTGTGAGACAGAGAGAAGTCCTTTCAAGAGATCCTCTGTAGGGGAATGATGAGGATGGACACTGATGCTGAGCCTGCGGTCATGTATCTTTTTTCCTCTAATCTCCCTCTCTGTCATTAGGGACATTTATAGGGCTCCTCTCTGGGAGGGGGAACCTAGACCCCACAGAAAAAAATGTCCCCACTCCTCCAAAGCCCTGCTCTCCACTCCCACTAGCAGCTATAAAAGGGAAGGGAGATCAGTCTTGGAAGCAGTTAACCTCACTTCATCTCACCCCATCCAATTCCCATGCTGAGGTAGAGAGAGCACTGAAAAAATGACTGAATTATGTGAGATTCACATTTGTTGGTTCAGGGAGAAGTTGGGAGACCTGGGTTTGAATTGTGACTGTCAACTAGCTAGCCCTAGTCATGTGATATTGGACCATTTTCCCCTTCTAGACTTCAGTATTCTCCATCTCTTCTCTCCGTGCCTGGAATGCACTTGCTCCTTACCTCAGCCTCATAGAGACCCTCTGTTCTTTTAAGATGCTTGCTGATTGATATGAAAGGGATTGAAGTAGATGCTGCTTTTTGGTGTAGCAAAAAGGGCCTTCAATCTGGAGTCAGAGGACTTGGTTTCATGTCCTGGCTCTGTTACTAATTACCTGTATCCTGAGCAAGTCCCCTTTTTCTTTCTGGACCTCGGGGTTTCTTTTCTTTATACAATGAGCTCCCTCATTGGGCTAAATGACTTCTAAGGTCCCTTCTAGCTTTAAATTTTATGTTTTCTAATGATTCTAACAGCCTGTGAGTCTACTCTGATAAGCTGGCTCTGCTACTGGTAGAGACCAAAGGTACAGGTGGCAACTTTAGAAGCCATGCATGTTGGAACATCCAAACACATCTGGGCCATGGCTTAGGGGTAACCAGAGCCACAATTAGGGTAGGGCCGCAAACTTAGAGGGTGATGACCATACTTGTGGTCCTCCATCATGTTGGGACAACCCTTCCCCTAACCCATCTTGCTTCCCCTGTCCCTTATGGCCATCTCCCCAGTGGAGATACACTGCCTGGGTCCTACAGTTTCTGCCTTTCCCTACAGAGTGTGGCCTGTCTCACCCCCCCCCCCATTCTAAATTCATGCCACTTGACCTGGGTTTGGTTTGTGATGTAAAAAGTTCCTAGTTAAGGTTCTGAGGGGCTGTCAGGTTTTGGGGTTCTTTCTCTGCAATTGAACCCATTCCAACAGCTGATCCTTCATATAGGATCCACAATGGCATCCTGACATGGTGGAGGAGGGATGGGAAAGAGCTGGGTTCAGATCAGACCTTTGTCACTAGCTCTGTGATCCTACTTCAGTGCTCGGTGGTGTCCAATGCTGTTGCCTCTTCTTTTGCAGGATGACCTGGTGGCATAGGACAGAAGAGGAGCTGGAGTTCAAAGGAAGCCTCAGATGAAAAGTAATGGATCCTACATATAGCAGACACCAAGTACAGTGATTCCGAGGTTCCCGAGAAGCAGCGCAAACCAGTCCTTATTCTAAGGGTTAGAGGAGAGTCGTGTAAAGTCCTTGGCTAGACTGAGGGCATATGGCTATTACAGTTCTTCCTGCCTCAGGCTTCTTCAGCAAGATCTCACTTTTGGCTACGGAATTTGGTTTAACACCTTTGGAGATGCTGCTGACCTAAGGAATTGCTGCTTCTGTCTCCCGACCTGCATTGTTCCTCTAAAATGTTCTCAGACCACCACTTACCAATGGAGAAACATTCAGCCTGGCTACATGGAGCTCTGGCAAAATGCAGTACCTCTCCCGAAGCTTCTACTCCTCTGGTGTCTGGATTCTCCTGCTTCCTTTGGAATAGAATTATGAGCTGCATGGGCCTCCTGGGACTTGGCTCCCTGGGCCCTGTGTGTGCTTTTTTTCCAGGGGCTGGGTTCAGGCACATCTGGCTGCTGTCAGGCTTTGAAATCCTTGGCTCACATTCCTGGGGCAGCTGGAAGCAAGGCTCAGGCTACATGGTAGGGGAGGGGAGAGATGATAGGCACTGCCCCCCAGGGATGATCTCAGGGGAGAGGAGTTTTTGGCCATTGCTGACAATGCCCCCTGCCCCCCTTCACACAGTGGAAGCCATCTCTATTATGGTCTGCAATCTCTTTTGGGCTCTCGGGGCTGAGGCGGCAGCCAAGGAGGGGGCCAGCGCACAGGGGGTTAACCGCTGATTACAGCCTTTGTCTCTGCATCAGTGTACATAATGCGCTCTTCATTTGCATACTGCAGTGTGCGCTCAATTAAAATGAACTTTTAATTTCTTCTAAGTAAATTACTTCTTCCCGGTACGTGACGCGCACAAATGTCAGAATAATGGGAGAGCCTTAATGAGCTGGGAAGTGGAACCATGAGGGAGGGGCTGCTGGAAATAACCCCCCCATGCCTAACACACACACACACACACACACACACACACACACACACTCACAAACTTATACACAGGAACACAAACGTATGCATAGACATGTATACGCTAGTATGTACATGCTATTAACATTCATACATACTGGTGGATGGGCACACACATACATCACACACTGACCCACAAATACACACATAGATCCAGGCACACTAATCCTTCCAGCTCTGTTGAAAACCCATTCCCATTTTAATGGAAATGAAACAAAGAAATCAGCTCAGGGCCAAAGCCTTGATTTCAAATGTTTTTTCTCCTGTGCTCTGGATGAGGAATGAAGAGGGGATGTGTTGAGTGCAAGGTTGGGGATGTTGAAGTCTTCTCACTTTGATGTGAGGGACTTGAGGAGAATAGTGGATGATCTGGTTCAAGTTACCATTTTGTCATGACCCCAGGGAAGGAAACTTCCCTCCACCCAAAATTCCCTTTCCCTGGCTTCTGCCATCCCAGGTTGTCCTATTTCAGCACCAGGGAGTTGGGACAGCATGAGACTGGCCTCCCTCCTCTCTAGTGTGGCTGGCTGTTTACCTAGGGAATCTTCCCCCTTGGGTCTGATCATTGGGTAGCTGGGGCCTCCGAGAAGAGAGTCCCAATGGCTTAGGAATCCTCTCCAGTAGCAGAGCCCAAACTAGGAAGATGGAGGCCACAACAAGTGTAAGCTTCATCTCTGTGGAATAAAAGGCTATCTCTGTCAAAGAGATTTTAGACATAAGCCTGCATGTTGGGTGAGGCATTGGGAGAGGGAGAGTAGGGAACCTTCCCACAGCCCTAGAAATCCCTGGGTGCCCCCTCACTTTTTCTGTGCATAACAATGCCCATGCAAGGGACTAGTAACTACTGGATTGGCAAGTGACGCCCAGTTCCAAGACAGCTCTAGACATGATACTTTTTGCTAGAAGAGCAGCTGAACATAAATCTACTCAAAGGGTCAGAGACAGAAAAAGCTAAGAGAAAGAATCATGAATCCTCAGTCTCCAGTCTGGACACGAAGGTGGACTCAGACTCGAGTTTCCCACTTGACCATGAGTCTCCCATGGACTTGTGCTCTCTGATATTATTATTATCCAAGTGTGACCCGAAATCCTATTCAGAGCCTCATTGTAACCCAACAGCTAGGATATAGTATAGTAGAAGAAGCACTGGATCTGGAGTCAAGGATTTAGATTCAAAGTCAGTCTCTGGTGCTGAAACAAGGACAATATGGGATGACAGAAGCCAGGGGAGTATAGAATGTCTACAAAATGCTGGTTTCTTTCCCTTCCCTCAGTCACAAGAGAGAGCAACTTGAATCAGATTGTCTATTCTTCTCATATCAAGCCCCTCATATTGAAGGTAGAACATTCTAATATCCGCAACTATTCACTCAACAATCCCTACCAAAATCATTCTACCAACTACCTGTATGACTTGGGGTTAATCACTTCATCTCCCTAAGCTTCATTTTATTCAAATGAAAAGTGAAGCCATTGGACTATATGATTTTTAAGATCTCTAGGGACAGCTAGATGGCTCAATGGATAGAGTGTCAGGCCTGGAGTCAGGTAGACTCATCTTCCTGAGCTCAAATCTGGCCTCAGACACTTACTGGCTGTGTGACCCTAGACAAGTCACTTAACCCTGTTGACCTCAGTTTCCTTATCTGTATGAGCTGGAGAAGGAAATGGCAAACCATTCCAGTATCTCTGCTAAGAAAACCCCAAATGAAATCATGAACAATCAGACATGACTGAAAAACAGTTGAACACAAGATCCCTCCCAACTCTAACATTCTATGATGCTATATAGGGTGAGCCCTCCTATCACTCAAGACCCTTCTTTCTTGCTTTGTAACCTGTGGCCATACCAATTTCAGGGCTTACCTCCAAGGAGCTAGTCTAAGGAGACAAGACAGTGCATGCAGTGAGAAGTCTGAGGGGACATGCCCATCAACTAGAGTATCTAGTTAGAGAACCATGTAGATGAGAGAGCAAGTGGGGGGGGTTTAATTTTCCCAAGAACTACTTCTGTTTCTCCCCCTTCCTTCCCCCCCATTCCGTGGCCCCTCCATGGCCTAACTCTTCTCAACTTTCCCCCAGCCAGTGAATGTGTACGCATGTGTTCTTGGGTAGAAAGAGGACTAGGTAAGATAGTATGAAAAGCTTAATGCAGTCCAGCCAGTCAAAGCAAATTCCCAGATGGTGGTGGATTAAATTATTGTCATCTGCAACAGAAAATAAGGATGTAATAACTGAAATGGAAAGGGGGAGCTGTGGTCCTCTCTGGACTCCCTAGAGAGGGGACAGTGACCCTAACAGTTGTCATGTGAAGGCCCCTCTCAACCAACTCGGCTTTGACATGTGAGCCTTCAGAGAAGTTGGGTCATGTCAAACACCTATTGTCTTCTTTCCACCAACCTCAGTGAGTTTGACTCATTGACCTAATGAGATTTGGATCATCTAAAGGGAGAGAGTAGAGGTTGAATGGTTAACTGGAAAAAGCACTGGGATTTGAATCCCTATTCCAGCTCCCACTAATAGGGTGACCATAGGCACTGAATCCCCATAGAGGTAAAGTGACTCAAACCAGAGGTCATAGGACATAGATTTAGAGTTGGAAGGAATCCTTAGAGTTCATCTACTCTAATCTCATCATTTTACAGATGAAGAAACTGAGGACTGGACGGATTAGGTGCCTTGCTCAAATAGCCCAGGGTCACATAGGTGGTTGGGCAGGGCCAGGATTCAAACCCAGGTCCTCTGGCTCCCAGTTCCATGTCCACTGACAACACCATCCATCCCTTTTCACTTTGATGACTAGGAACTATCAACATACCAGGATCCCAGCAAGTGGATGAAGGATAAGGTTAAAGAAGCCTAGGCTTAGCAGATCATGCATTGATTGTCGGATGGTATAGACCAAACAATTGTCAGATTGTTGTGTATGTGCTGTGTATACATAGTGAGGCAGTCAGTGCAGTGGACAGAGCGCTGGGCCTGGAATCAGGAAGATCTGAGTTTAAATCCGTCCTCATAGACTAGCAGCGTGACCGTGGGCAAGTCACCGAACCTCTGTTTGTCTCAGTTGCCTCAACTATAAAGTGGGAATAATAATGGCACCTACCTCACAGGGTTATAGTGAGGATTAAATGAAACTAACATTTGTAAAAAAAAATAAAACAGCTAACACAGTGCCTGGCACAGAGTAGGTGCTGTATAAATGCATATTCCCTTCCCTTGGGTCACGAAGGATAGAATCTCCAGACTATTTTGTGGGGGTTTAGATAGATTGTCTTGGGCCTTTGAACTCCATTTGTAAGCTATGAGGTCTCAGTCTCAAACTTCTCAATCAGTGTATTGGATGAAACCAGAGACAGCATGCTTTAAAACTTACTTATGACACAAAACTAGGAGATGTAGCTAGCAAAATGCTTGACAGCAGGGCCTGTCTTTTGCCTCCTTTTGTATCCCTAGTGCTTAGCACAAAACCTAGAACATTGTTGATCAGCGGTTTCAGTCATGTCCAAGTCTCCATGACCCCATTTGGGGTTTTCTTGGCAAAGATAATGGAGTAGTTTGCCATTTCTTTCTCCAGCTCATTTTATAAATGAGGAAACTAAGGCAAACAGAATTAAGTGATTTGCCCAGGGTCATACAGCTAATAAGTGTCTGAGGCCAGATTTGTACTCAGGAAGATGAGTCTTCCTGACTCCAAGCCTGGCACTCTATCCATTTTACCACCTAGCAGCCCTAGGCACATAGTAGGCACTTCATAAATATTGGTTGATTGATTGATAGGATCATCCATTTGGAGTTGGGGGACAGAATCAGGATACAAAGACATCTTGGCAGGCTAGAACAATGCCCCCCATCTAATAAACTGAAATTTAATAAAGATAAATGTAAAATCCTACAAGTGGGCTCAAATAATCAACTTCATAAGGAAAAAATAGTGGAACTATGATTAGACAACTATTTGTTTGAAAAAGATCTGAAGCTGAAGTGGGTTTTAGTTTCAATATGAGTAGACAACATAACATGACATAACATGACATAACAGTGTAACATAACAGACAAAAAAACCTAATGTGATAAATGTAATCTTAGACTGCGTTGAGAGGCATAGTATTCAAAAGGGTATAATCCTGCTGTGTCCTTCACCCTGACTGCACCACATCTTAAGTATTGTGCTCAGTCCTTGGGACCCATAATTTAAGAAGGTTCTTGATACATTGAAGCAGGCTCAAAGCAGGTCAATCAGGATGGTGAAGGACCATGCCATAGCTTCTAGGGGCTGGAATTGTTTCTTCACAGTGAGGTCTGGAAACCAATGGAGTGGCTTCTCATATCCCCCAAACCTGCCCCTTGGGACAGTCTGTTCTAACTCTCCATGGTTTATATTGACTATGCTGGGGAAAGGACTGACACCAGTTATTCTGTCCCGCTGGTCAGCTGTTGTTGTATCCAAAATGTTATAAGCATCATTAATGGAAGCAGCATCAGAATACCTGCATGGTTTCTGAAAGGTATCTCTGAATTCTGGCCTATTTGCTTATTTGGGCAATTGGAATTTCATTACTCTATAGCCGCACATAAAATATTATCTCACAGAATCAACGTAATACCCCATGTGATGGAATAACAATAATAATAGCTAATATTTGTATGGTATTTACTTTAAGATTTCCAAAGCACTTTGCATTCATTACCTCATGTAATCCTCACAACAGCCCCTTGAGATGGGGGCTATTATTATTGTCATTTTACAGATAAAGAAACTGAGGCACATAGAGGTTAAGTGACTTGCCCAGGGTCATATAGTAAGTGTCTGAGGTAGGATTTAAATTCGTCTTCCTTACTTCAAGCCTAT